GAGAGAGAGTGACTAAGGAGAACTGTACTTTCCGTTTGTCAGCCCCACAATTGCTACATCACAACATGTGAGTTGTTGTATGTTTGTGCATTTACTATAAGCTGGGTTTACCAACGGGAAATTTCAGGGAACTAACATGACTTTTACCCAGAGAGAAAGAAAGAGAGGAATCTATTCTGACATAGAGCTTCTGAGGCACTGCAGCATTTTTGTCTGGTCTCAGTGTTTCAACATTTTTGTCTTCACAGTTCACGAACATGGGTGATCTAGATGTGGATCTCGATGGAATATTTAAAGAGAATTACACATATCCTGAGGAGGACTATGACTATCCAGGGGATGAGTCTTTTGTGAAAAGAGGCAGTGAGGCAGTGTGGGTCCCTGCTCTGTACTCTATAGTCTTTGTTGTTGGAATCCTGGGAAATATTATTCTCCTGACAGTTCTGGTTCAAAAGAGGAGACTGTGGAGCATATCGGACACCTTTATTCTCCACCTGAGTATCGCGGACATCCTCCTCCTGTTAATGCTGCCCTTCTGGGCTGCACAGACAAGTCAGCCTTGTGACTGGTCCTTGGGCATTTTCAGCCAGATCTTTGGAGTCGTTTTCAAGGTAAGGACTAGAAGATGTTGTATGGATCAGATAGAGACTGAAAATAAAAGCAAGACATTTTCAGTGAAGCTGTGAGAAAGTTTTTTTTGTTTTGCTGTACTCCATCATTTTTCTGCTGAATTTCGTTTCTTGGCAGAACGTGCAGAACAGAGTCATTGTACTCAACAGGATGACAGTGACATCCACTGAGTATTTAACATTTTTAAGGAAGAGAACAAGCTTAGAACAGCAGTTTAGAGTAGGACAGATGTGAAAGGGAAGAAATGAAGTGTAATTTTTATAGATGTTAGAGGTTTGTGTCTTACACTAAAAGTTCTCCCTGTCTTCTTCTAGCTCAACTACTACTGTGGAATCTTTCTGCTGTTTTGCATCAGTCTTCAAAACTACCTCTCTGCCATCCATGGCATCCAGTTGTATTCCCACGAGAAGCCCTTCTTTGTTCACATCAGCTGCCTGTCAGTCTGGCTTATCTCTGTCATCCTCACCGTACCTGAATGGATTTCCCCAGGGGCTAAAAAGGACTCCACAGAAGAGAAAACATGTGTTCACATCTACCCTCAATCTGGAACTGACTGGCAGTTGTGGTCACGCCTGCTCCACCACATATTTGGCTTGGTGCTACCTGCAGTCATGCTGATGATCTTCTCACATATGCTATGGCGGCAGTGCAGCTCTAATGGGGCCCGAATCCAGAGAAATGTCACCGTCATCCTGTCTCTGGTGGGCGTATTCTGTGTGTGTTGGATGCCGTACAACTTCATATTTTTTTTGGACACTGTCCAGAACAGACTTCAGAAACATCCTGATGATTTACATAAAAGCTCTGAAGGTTCACTAAAAATACTTCTTATGGGCACCTCTGCGTTAGGCTGCCTTCACGCCAGCCTGAGGCCTCTGCTGTATCTCGGCCTGTGTGGAAACTTCAGGCAACACTTACTGGCCATGCTGAGATGTAATAAAACTGAACCAAAAGGCTCACTCTGGGATCTTGGTGTAGGCCAGAGACAGCAGCCTGATCACGGTCAGGATCAACAGCAAGAACTGAAACAGATGACGGATGCAGAGAATCCGTTAGCTTAGTGAAGATGAACATACTCTCTTGCGACTCAAGTGTGAGATGAGCAGCTTTACACTCCTGAGACGAAGTGAATTCAGTTTCATGTCATGAGTTCATGGGGTGGAGGACTTGTTTCTGCGTAACTGACAAGCAGATGTTTATACATAAAAATGACTCTCACATTCCACACATGCATCATGGTGACATATGCTCACCCAAAAGGGTTAAAACAGATGTCTGTATTTTATTTTTGAATTATTTAAAATAAAGGTATTTAGCTTTTTATGATTAGTAAAACATTTGTGTTGCCAATTAACAGTTTTCAACACAGTTATCGTAAAGTTAATATCATAATCTTTGAAATTCAGTGTAATGCAAGTTGTTACCTTTGGCAGTGTTATTGACATCGTATGTTAAACAGTCCCAAACAGTTTATAACTTTAACACCATTAAAACAATTCAGTGTTTAAGCTTTCTCTCTTGTGCTCTCTTTGACTTGTCTTGAAGCAGTAAATCCCGAGATTGCGTAATGACATGTCAGCGTGTGATTGCTTTGCAGTTAAGGGATTTTCCCTGAGGCCAGTTTACTTAACTTTAAAAATCGTTGTTTCTGGGAATGTACAAATGTGACACAGGAGGAAAAGAAAAAAGTGGTGATGTCATCAGTCAGGTGACAGAGCGCAACGGTGGAGGAGGGGTGCTGCACCCTTTTCGTAGCTTTCTATTTACAGTCATCTGAAGACGTGTCTGTGTTTAGTAGGAAGAACTGTGTGAGGCTTTGTGAACAGAGCCAGCTGACAGAAAACCAGCAGACCAGTATGTGGGAGAAGAACGGACGTTAGAGAAGATAAAAACTTATTGTGATGATAATAGTCTGTGTTGTGCTGCACACACACACAAATGCCTGTGGTTTTATGCTTTCACACTGCTCAGCACGTCGTGACCTGCCATGCTTGCCTGGTTTCAAATCCTAACAATCTTGAGAAATGTAACTATGTTCAGAAATAAATGTACTTTCGGTACTGAGTGTTCTTCTGAAAACTCGCTGTGCAGTAATTTCACACTTGAAAATATTCAGTTTCCTCGTTTCGACGCACTCCTTCCTCTGTTTAGTGTTTTGTGACTCCAGAGAGTCTGTAAGAGCGCATGATGCAATAAAAGAAATGGTGGCTGTCGAAAGCAGCAGAAACATTCTTCGTGTTTAAGATGTGGTTTACAGTTTTCAGCTGCACCTCAAGCATTATTTCTTGCTTCAGCTTATCTGGCAACTAAGATAGAGAAAACCAGCTAATCAGGTCTTTTGTTTAATGAGTAACAAATCTGGTATGAGCATCAACATAATCTTTAGGAATAGAGTCCAAAAGAGAAAACGTAATTATGAAAACAAAAGCAGTCGTGTCATTGTCCACATGTTTTTCTGAATGTCGATCATGTGGATGTCATTTGTTTTGGAGAAGTGAGTCACATGTCACATTATATCTCATTGTTTCCATCTGTTACGTAAGATCTCTGTCACCGAGCCAGTGCGTCTACCTTTCATTTTTATGGTTTCAGTTTCCAGTTAAAAACATGTAAGCTGTTTTTACAAAAACTGCTGGATGTGAGTTTAAAATTTTCTCTATCATTCTTACATCCATTCTTCATCTGTTTGCCAAAATCGGTCGTGAACTTAACTTCTGCTCGGTTTACACAGGCCATTATAAAAAAGAGGGAAGAAATAGACCAAAATGTTGCGCTGTCTTCTGTCACGTCAGTCGACATGTACTGAGTAAAGACTTCATGAGCAGAAGACAAACAAGTCACACAGTGGTTTCATAACGTGATTTGAAAGCTGCTTTTTTTGTTTAGATAATGCTTAAAGCAGGTAGAAATAAGCAAATAATGCATGTAATAATGCAGCTTTTTTATCTTTGCAGGCTCTCCTCTCTATACTGTAAACATTAAATATTGGGAGTCGTTATAATAAGTAGAGTTATGGTATGTTGTAAACAGGAAAGTTCCCTTCAGCTCAATAAGATTGTAGAGCATCATCTATACTGACAACCAATAAACTAACCAAAACAATAACTTACTCATTTTTTTTGTTCTTTTAAAAAATGTTTTTTACACATTTATTTTGTCAGCAATTGTAACAGTTATTTCTCTGGTTTTACTTTTTATTTATTTAGCAACAAAATTGTTATTACCACAAATATAAACTCTGGGAAATAAAATTCCTCAAAAAAGAGCCAAAAGCTTTTACTGAGGAGTAGAATTTTTGATTTAACTACCTATAAACTCACCAACAAACATGTTCACTCATTTAAGTGTTCATTTTACATTTTTATTTTACTTTTGCTTTGAAGTCTTGTTAAAAATGTGTGTTTTATGTCTAAAATTGCTTTTTAGAAACATGTTCTAACACACCTCAGATTTTGAATTTTCCAAACTGTTAAGTATTTTTATACAGCTCAGAAAAACAGTTTGTTTAACATAAAAACATTAAAATAATAGAACGTTGTATAACAGTAAGAGTAATGGTGGCCTTCATTATGGTTTTAAAATCACCAGAGATAGACAACATTTCCAAACTGCATGCATTATAGGCCACAGAAATTATGCAATCCCACACACAAAAAAAAGCTGAAGTAATTCTGGGAAGTAATTATAGACCTATGCATACATTAATTATACTTGTATAGGAGAGCCACAGAGAGTCAAGTCAGCAAAAGTAGCAGCGTCAATGCCTGTAATTTAAGCCTCACACCTCATCTTTCTTGTGGTGTGGACTGGAAAGAATCTCTCTGCATGTCTAATATATCTCTTTAAATCCACTACAGATTTGCTTTCTTGTTAATTAATTCCATATATTTCAAAATGTAGTAAATATCCATATTGTTTACAGTAATTTTGTTGGTTGGTTTTAAAATGCCATTTTGAAGTAATGTAAATAAAGTGTGTGTAGTAAATTTGAATTTTGAAAGATGTGGTGGTTGAATGTTCATTGGGTTGACTTTTGCTTTGTCGACTATGTGAAGTTTTTAAAACAAAATTTCATTACTTTAAACAGTTTTTGTGCAAATAAAAAAATATTTGTCTGTAAAAGTGAATTTAGCCTTTAATCCTGAGAGTAAAATCCTCATCTAATGGTGCTTTCCAGAAGTATTCCAAGAGAATATATATTCCTGGGTGTAAATCCTGATATTTTCAAAAGCAGCCTATATAAACAGGAACAAACCCAGCTTAAAACGACTGGGCCCCCGCATAACACCAGTGGGTCCTTCCTATTTAAAGAACTGCTTTCAGTCAGTCAGAATTCTCTGTAACATCAACTAAAACTTTACACTTTGTACCAGAGACTACAGTTGTGATTGGAAGCTTATATAAATTCATCATGAGGATGAACTTGACAGTAATTTTGGACAGGGAGAGTTCTGGCTCCTAAAGAAAGAAAGAAGGAATCAATCAGTGGCCCTCATTTTGGAGCTGCATCTATTATCATGGGGTGAGCATGACCATGAGAAAAGGTGTAGGGGAAAGCGGTGCTCTACTTACAGTGTATTTAATGAAGGTGGGGTGCTGCTGCCTTCAACTGAGGACCTAGCCAGACTGTGGAAGAAATACTTAGAGGAGCTCCTTAATCTGGCTGACTGTTCTTTAGAGGAAGCACGGTCAGGGGGAACAATTCACCTATGATTTGTTTGATGATTTGAAACATTTAAGTCTGACATGAACACTGTTTCCCTGCTCATGAGCCGACGCCGGAACTTCTCACTCACAAAAGCATACAGGATGGGATTGAGGCAGCAGTGAATGAAACCCACACAGGTGGTCACTGTCTTAATTTTCTCCAGGGATGTTGTGTCTGAACAAGTTTCATTACTGATATCAAAATTAAACGTTTCCACTAAGAGCGTGGTGTTGTACGGGGTCCAGCAGATAAAGAAAACCACCACCACAGCCACAATAACTTTAAAAGCTCTCTGCTTTTGATGGCTCTGGGCACCACACCTCAGCTGATGCAAAATGCAGGAGTAGCAGAACATCATGATGGCTGAAGGAAGTGCAAAGCCAACTATGAGGTAAATCATGCGTGATGCCAACCTCCAATTATATACAGCCTCCTCACGAAATTTGTAATAATTGGGAACACACTCTCTTCTGCCTCGTCTATCATCAAACACATCTTCTAAAAAGATCCAGTCAGTGATAGAGAGAAGCAGGGAAAAGCACCACACCATCAGGCAGCTGGCCTGAACAACCCAAGGCTTCTTCCTTGAGTACATCTGTGTAGCATGGACGATGGACAGGTAGCGGTCCAGACTGATGCAGGCCAGGAGAAGGATCCCACTGTAGAAGTTAATCTAAAGAAATCAATGAAGACACTTCTGCTAAATTAAGTGAAAGTACAGACATTTTCACTGCATCTTTACTTCAGCACAATACTTACTGTAAAAACACTTCCACTGATCTTGCACAGGGGAGTACCAAATGTCCATCCATCACTTTGGGCATACTGTACTGCCCAGATGGGCAGCGTCACCAGCATCAGGATATCTGCCACTCCCAGATGGAGGATGAAGGTATCTGTCGCACTCCAGGTCTTCCTACTCCGAGCCAGTATTCTCAACAGCAATCCGTTCCCAAGCAGACCAACAACAGAACACCACAGAGTACAGAACTGGTATGAACACAGCTTCAAAATTCACAGTCTCAGTCAGGCTGCAAATATCACCCCCTTCATAAGAGCCATTCGAGTCTGAATAGTTATAGTTCTCGTAGAAATCAGACCAGTCAAGGTCCTCCCCTGTCACTGTAATCTTTTCATCTTCCATCATCTGTGGACAGACAGAGAAAAGGATGCAAATTTTCACTTAGACTCTGACTTATGATGTGATTTTCAACCACATGGTCGATCATGTTTTCTGTATTTTTTGTTTTCTGTATTTAGTTTTTTTGTTTGTTTTTTTAATGCATGCCTTTAAAAAAGCTGCTGCATTAGATATTCCGTGCCTTCCAGTTAAAGTAGTTGGAAACACTACTAATATTTTCCAGGTAAAGAACACATTGGGGTTTTTTTTTAAATAGATAATATTTTAACAGTGAGGACAGGGTAAAAAAAACCCCACAGAAACTGGATACATAAAGCTTTGCTTTGTACGGTTTATTTATTTATTTATTTTTATTAACTGAATTACTTGTACCAATCAACAAAAGACAGTGTCAACCATTTTAGTCATACTATTGGTTTATTTTTTAATTTCTTAATTTCTTTTAACTGTTTTGTATCTTCTTCTTCTTTTATTTATGCTGGTACAATTTAGGGAAGAGAAACTGATATACACCAACCAAGAGGAAGCATGTAAATTCACATTTTGCAAGAAATTAAGAGTCAGGTGGCTCTAGACATTAGTGTGTCGTAAACATAATGTCATAAACGTACTGAATGTTTAAAACAAAATATAAGGAAAATATCACTCGTCACGTCACATCACAGTTTAATATGCTGTAGTTTGTCACTGAGAACTGAAGGTGTGTATACAAACAGAAAAACAATCCTGTAAAGAAAAACATACACCCCTCTGCATCAAATCAATTCAATTTGTGATCATTTAGTAAATTCTTAAACGCATAATTAATTAATGTAAACAGAGAGTGGTCAATGTAGTTAAAATGCATAATAGGATGTTGACCAAAATTTAAGAATAATGACATACTCGTGAAAAATTAGAAATAGCCAGTATAGAATGATAAATAATTCAATAATTCAATAATAAAGGCATAAAATAAAAACATACCAAAGTAGAAGTCTCTAATATCGTAGATAATTAAAATGTGTCCAGAGCTCTACCTCCAGCAGTGCCGATAAAAGCCTCTAAATTGGTTAAAGAGGAAGCTCACACAAAAACAAAACCAAAACAAACTCCTCCACCTTACTAGGCACATTATGAGCTAGCATTTGATGTTTTTATATAAAATTATTAACTTTGTTTTGAAAAAAGTATTTTTGTAAAAAATAATAACAATACTTTTAAATTTTATTTGTATGTTTTATTTTGTATTTATTCTTTTTTTTTAAGATGCTGAAAATGTAGCTTACAACTGCACTTCATATATTTAAATTGTGCTTTTAAGATGTCTGGAACTAACTACAGCAGAGATAACTGAACCCATTTACAAATTTGCTGTAAAGCTGTAAGATTTCCTCATTGTTGCCTTTACATTTTTGTTATTAATGTGAATATATGATATAAAATCTTATAGGATCAGTGTGTAAGTGGTGGTTCCACTGTCTATGTACACATTTCTGTGAAATCAGGCACAAAACCTAAAAACACTCATCAGATTCATTTTGAAGTTATGTTTCAGACTTTTTTAGGAATTAAAAGACTTAGAGTTTTAGTCTATAAGTGTTATCAATATGTTATTAACATTTGAATAAAGTTATTTTATTTAGATCTTTTTTTTCGGTGGTTGCGTTTGGGGGGCAATTCGATGCACATGGGAGTACCAAAGTCCATCCATCACTTTTGGCATACTGTACTGCCCAGATGGGCAGCGTCACCAGCATCAGGATATCTGCCACTCCCAGATGGAAGGATGAAAGTATCTGTCGCACTCCAGGTCTTCCTACTCCGAGCCAGTATCTCAACAGCAATCCGTTCCCAAGCAGACCAACAACGAACACCACAGAGTACAGAACTGGTATGAACACAGCTTCAAAATTCACAGTCTCAGTCAGGCTGCAAATATCACCCCCTTCATAAGAGCCATTCGAGTCTGAATAGTTATAGTTCTCGTAGAAATCAGACCAGTCAAGGTCCTCCCCTGTCACTGTAATCTTTTCATCTTCCATCATCTGTGGACAGACAGAGAAAAGGATGCAAATTTTCACTTAGACTCTGACTTATGATGTGATTTTCAACCACATGGTCGATCATGTTTTCTGTATTTTTTGTTTTCTGTATTTAGTTTTTTTGTTTGTTTTTTTAATGCATGCCTTTAAAAAAGCTGCTGCATTAGATATTCCGTGCCTTCCAGTTAAAGTAGTTGGAAACACTACTAATATTTTCCAGGTAAAGAACACATTGGGGTTTTTTTTTAAATAGATAATATTTTAACAGTGAGGACAGGGTAAAAAAAACCCGTTTCCACTAAGAGTGTGAAGTTGTACGGTGCCCAGCAGATAAAGAAAACCACCACCACAGCCACAATAACTTTAAAAGCTCTCTGCTTTTGAAGGCTCTGGGCACCACACCTCAGCTGATCCAGGATGCGGGAGTAACAGAAAATCATGACACCGGAAGGAAGCACAAAGCCCACTATGAGATAAATCATGCGTGATGCCAACCTCCAAGAGTCTTCTGCGTTTACATCAAATTTACGATAGTTATGAACACACTCTCTTCTGCCTCGTCTATCATCAAACATTTCTTCTAAAAAGATCCAGTCAATAATGGAGAGAAGCAGGGAAAAGAACCACATCATCAGGCAGCTGGCCTGGGCAACCCAAGGCTTCTTCCTTGAGTACATCTGTGTAGCATGGACGATGGACAGGTAGCGGTCCAGACTGATGCAGGCCAGGAGAAGGATCCCACAGTAGAAGTTAATCTAAAGAAATCAATGAGAGACACCTCTGCTAAATAATTGAAAGTACAGATATTTTCAATGCATCTTTACTTCTGCACAATACTTACCATAAAGACACTTCCACTGATCATGCACAGGGGAGTACCAAAAGTCCATCCATCACTTTGGGCATACTGTACTGCCCAGATGGGCAGCGTCACCAGCATCAGAATATCTGCCACTCCCAGATGAAGGATGAATATATCTGTCACACTCCAGGTCTTCCTACTCTGAGCCAGTATTCCCAACAGCAATCCGTTCCCAAGCAGGCCAACAACAAACACCACAGAGTACAGAACTGGTATGAACACGGCTTCAAAATTCACATTCTCAGTCAGGTCGCAAATATCACCCCCTT